CTATTCTCCTCGGAGAGGTGGAGTACTTACAGCGCTGCGAGAGAGCTTTCGCAGCGCTGGTGGCACAACTACACTCACGCTTCACAGCGCTGCTGCAGCAGCACTGGGAAGTCCTGAGTGTAGCCAAGGCCTCAGGCACAGTCTGATCTCTGCTTCAGTCCTGAAGATCTTCCCTTCAGAAAATAGTGGAGGACAAACTCTGGAGGGCAGGGCACCTTGGATGGTGTGATGCGGGAGTGTGTCTATGAAGTGGAGAGCTCCAGATGGAGGCACTGAGTGACCCCGGGTGCAGACTTGGGCTGTGTAATCCTAGGCTATACAGCACTAATACTGCCATGTGTTTGTACAGCGCCTAGCGCACTGGGGCCCTTGTCCAGGAGCTTACTGCATTACAGTGAATACAATCACTGATGCTGCTCGATGGGCAGGCCAGGCACAGGCTGCAAACTGCCTGTGCCCCCTCGGATCTCGTCATGGGCTCAGTGGCTTGTGGAAGACACCTTTTAAACCGGCGGATTCGCTCTTCTCTTTGCTGTGGGGAATCACACCTGCTGATGGTGCTGAGCAACATTTGGCAGTTGGTGATGCATGTCAAAATCCGGTTTCCTCCTAGCTGTGTGCTCTTTCACTTGGGTGTTGCTCTGTGTATGCCAGCATTATTGACAGGCTGAGTTGGTTTGGTTTTTTTCTTAATTGTCTATCATAAATAAATGGCAAGTGGATGCTGACTCTGCTCTTAAACCATCCCTGGTATCTTCACGCCCTCAGGCACTGAATGTACAAAGCTTGTCCACCTGCCTGACGTCTCTTACAGTGCCTCTGAAGCATTACAGTTTGGTTTCACCACCCCCATCCCTGCCTGCTTCCTCTCCTGTGGATGACGAGAGGCTCCTTTCTTGGCAGTACTGATTGTGCAGCCTTCACAATTGAAGGATGCTGTTAATTTCCTCCTTCTGATTGGCTCACGTGTCTCTGATCCCCGTCCAACAAGTGGAGGTTTATAGAAATTTGCTGAGCCAGATACTTCCTCTTTGCAGCAGAGATGGACTTGTGTTCCTACTGCCGACAGCCCGGCCATCTTTACTTCTTCATTGTTTGCATTGTCATTTTTCTCAGCAGAGCCACTGGCAAAAATCGAGTTGCCATGTTCTATTTTTAAATGCAGCAATGCAGTCACACTAGCTAGGTCCTTGGGTAAACAGTGATTCAGGGGAGGCAGTGTTCAGATATAGTGTGCAGCACTACAGGACTGACTAATGCAACATCATCACATCTCTCAAAATCAGCTTCTGTAAAGATCTTCCCCAAAATCCAGCTTGTACTCTGCAGCCCAGAACTTCACACACTGCAGGGGAAAACAACTGATTTTGGTGCCGATTACAACCAGCCAGCAGGGAGGATGGTATTGTCATTAAAGCGTAGTGTTGGGAGTCAGGATGCTTAGGGTTCTATTCTTGAGTCTGCCGGTGATTTCCTGTGTGACCTTGAACAAGTCACTTAACTCCTCTGGTATGTCTACACTCAGGCAGCATGCGGAGTACAGACACTGCACGCTCAGCTAGCAAGGCTATAAATAGCTGTGTAGATGGGGAGCCACATAGGGTGACCAGACAGCAATTGTGAAAAATCGGGATGGGGGTGGGGGGTAATAGGAACCTATATAAGGAAAAACACCCCAAAATCAGGACTGTCCCTATAAAATTGGGACATCTGGCCACAGCTTAGGCCAGGCGAGTGCCCTACATACCTGAACCCGCAGGGTACATACCCTACACAGCTCTCTACACATCCAAGCAGCGCCTCCCACTCTACCCTGCAATTATTAGCAGTGGAATGTCCCACTGCCTCAGCTTTCCCTGTGGCCTGTAGTAGCACAGGTAGTGCCTGTAACTACACACCGCCCCAAGTGCCGCTGGAGCCTCAGTTTCCTCATCTGTGAAGAGAGGATAATGACACGGTCCTACATCACAGGAGTGTTGGGAGGGTGAATTTCGTAGGGCTCAAGTGTCCCATGGGAGGCTGTGTGGCCCAGTGGACAGGGCACTGGACTGGGAGTCAGGAGACCTGGTTCTATTTCTGGCCCTGCTGCATGATCTTGAACAAGTTCCTTCACCTCTGTTCCCCCGCCCATCCTTTGCCTGTCTTGTATATTTAGAGTGTAAACTCTTCAGGGCAGGGACAGTCTTTTACTCTATGTTCGCAGAGTGCCTAGCACAATGGGGCTGCATTAGGGACGTTATTTGACAGTTCTGCACAATGGGGATTCCAGCACCTTCCTTTGAACATCTGATGCTGGCCAGCGTTAGAGACAGTCACTAGACTAGACAGACCACTGGTCTGATTTGGTATCACCTATGCTGTGGTATCTGGTATTCCTATGCTCATGTGAAAGCATTCCTAACTATTGCAATTAGCTGCTAATTTACAGAATAGTTGCACGCTATCTGTGATCCTGGCCTGTCACATGCAGACTATGTAGAATTGTTCAAGGCCAGTATTACTTCTGTGCATTGCACTGAGCTGAGTTTCACAGCTTTTGTTCCAATTGTCATCCCTTTGCCCGAAATGTTTCTGGAAGTGGTGGGGGAAGAAGGTGGATGAGTCAACTCTGAAACACAAACCTTTCCTCCAAGGTAATGCAAAGATTTCACCCCGCAGCTTGGATCTTCATCTGCAAACATTCTGCTCTGGAAGGCTGAGATTGTCCTAGTGGCAATTGACTCAAAGCTGATAATGCCAGCATTTGTAACAAACCTGCTGCCAAATTCCTGTGCATTCCACCCTGGCACTTTGTGAATCTGGGAGGTGTCAGGAACCTGTAGGGTGACCAGATAGCAAGTGTGAAAAATCGGGACAGAGGGTGGGGGGTAATAGGTCCCTATATAAGAAAAAGCCACCAAAATCGGGACTGTGCCTATAAAATCGGGACATCTGGTCACTCTAGGAACCTGGTCCACCTCTCGCTGATGTGTGGGAAGTAATGAACTCAGGACAGTCGGTCTAAGCTCTGATGATTCTTAGAGCCTGATCCCACTTTATGGGAAGATTCCCAAGGGACTGCTTCAGAGGCATTTGTTTAGCTAGTGTTTACTGGCTCAGCTTATTTTCGCAGGGAATTTGGTCACATCCCAAGGCGAGGCTGAGATCTCTTTAAAAACACCTTTCTTTAATAAATAAATGGTTTGCCCTGGGAAGGCTCCTCCAGGGAGGTTTTAAAAGCCTCAAATATCAACCCCAGCTAATGGAGCCAGAATTTCCCTGGAAAGTGTCTAGGGCAGGGGTTTGCCCCAGTTACTGTTCAGATACCACTGCCCAGCTCCCTGCTCTACCCACATGCTGGTGACCTTTCGGATGGAGTGGGGACAGTGTCTGCTTTCTGAAGAGGTGGTACAGTGCATGCTTGTGGTTTGGATAGTAAGACCACAAGGCTGTTCCTTCTGCATGGGCAGAGCACAGAACCTTAGAAATAGCCCGTGGCCAATATACCCTTTTCTCTTTGTTTGGCCAACAGGTGCAGGCCTGTGGCTGTGCTCAGGCATATGGCTGAGGGTCAGCACCCCATGTAAGCTTGCAAGCCCAGAGACGGCTGCCAGGCTGACCTCGCCTCTACTACTATTCCCAATGACTAGGCATGCACAAGGAGGGAGACAGTATCTGTCTGGGGGCTGGCAAGAGGGCGGGGGGATTAATTCTGCTCTTCAGATATCAAAGACATCTTCACCTCTTTTAAGTGGGCCACTCTAACACTCCTGCGCAACAGAGCCGTATTTTCTTTGGCATGTCGGAGAGACGCAGGGCTTGCTGAGGACCTATGCCCGCTGAGGATCTCTAGTTGTTATGCTGCCCAAAGGTGGTTAAAATGCCAGTCAGGTCTCAAAAAAACAGGGAGGTCCCACATTGGAGCAGGACATGCAGCCACAGTGTCTGTACCAGGCCCAGAGGTCTGTGCTGCCTCTGGGATGGGAAACCTCATGCCCTGCAGAAGGTGGGGCGTGGGGACTCCTGTCCAGGAGAGTGGCCTCCTGAAAGTCAGGTGTGCTGTTTGTCCACAGTGTCTATGGGTCTGGGTAGAGGAGGAAACTCCCTTGCCCACGAGTGCACCGTGTTTGCTGTGTTGGCAGTTATTGGCAGGGTCTCTTGGCTCATCGAGTCCCTCCTGCTGCATCGTGGCAGGATACAGATACTGCCCGGGGGTGAGTCCCCTGAGCCAGGCTGGCGTAAATGAGGCATACTTCAGCGGAGTTAGAGTGGTGCGAGCGAGAGGAGAGTCCCGCTCCTTGGGACCAATCCTCCTCTGCCTCTGTGCACTCTGTCTACCACCATTGCAACATGGGTGCCAAATGCTATCAGAGCCGAACGGTCGCATTTTACACCCCACGCGTGGGGCGAGGCCAGGGGGAATTGGGCCCCTGGTGTTCAGCCAGGCTCTAGGAGCGGCGTGCGGGAGACATTCAGAAGCAGTCACATGCTTGTGGTCGGCATTACCCTATATCTGCAGGACTGTAGCGGTCCCCCCATGGGCAGTGCCCGTGTGAACTGCTCTGAGCAGCAGCCCCTAAGCAGCAAACATGCCGCATGGTGAAAAGAGAACCGGGAAGCCCAGCTGCTCCCCCACTCCCATCAGAAATGCAGAGGAGCTGATGTTTAACCAGTCAGCCAGCTCACTTCAGAAACGCCCGCTCAACAAGAAGGCAAGAGAAACCCCAGCGAAAGCAGAAGAGAAAGCAAGGGGGGGGGGAAGGGGGCGGGAATGAAAGTTCATCTCAACGACTGCATGAAAAAATACAAGGCAGCTCCATCGGGTGCAGCATCTTTGTGTCTGACCCCCCTGGGTACCGAGATAAATAGAGCCACTGTGAGAGGAGCCTGAGATTCCTCGAAGTGCACTGGGGGGAGGGGGGGTGTCTCTGTGTGCAGCTATAATTTACCTGAAAGAGCTGGGGTCCTAAGGAGATCTGGGCTATAGCGAGTGAGAGGGAGGATAAATAGTGACCGAATCCAAGGCAGTGATTACTCACTCCCAGAGCGGATGCTCTGTTGCTATGGCATGGGTGGGGGGAGTTACTTTGAATTCGCCTCTCCCCTTGGTGTTTTTAACTTAGCAAGCCTGAAGTCTGCTCACTTCACCCCGCAAATCGGTCACAACCAGTCTCCAAGCAGCAGGGGAAATAAGCTTCCCGTGTGACAAGGATGGGAGGCGCAGAGCCAGGCGCCCTCCCTGCCAGCGAGAGTAGTACAGTCCGAGGGGGAGGCTCTTTGGAGAATGTACAGTCTGTGATCTGGCAGCCAGCTGATTCTAGCATTCAGGGGGCTTAGATGGAGCGAAGACGGCTGAGGTGGAGGAGCAGGTTCTGCTGACAAGGGTTTGTGCAGCGCCTTGGAAATCTGGGACAAATCGCTCCTTTCTGTTGTTTGGAAGTGCAAGTCAGCGCCGCTGTTTAAGTTTCGGCGACAGGAGCGTGCAGCATCTGGAAGAGTCTCCGCAGCTCTGCAGGCAGCCTGCCCCAGAGGAAGCTGCTGAGAGCGGGGATCCGATGGTTCACTTTTAACCACATCCGTGCCTCAGCTAGAAATATTTACAGGCGTTTGTCACCGTTTCCCTCCATTTTGAAAAGAATCCCCTGGCAGCCGGAGCTGGGAAAACTGCTCTCATGGCGTTTAGCCCCTGGCAGATCCTCTCCCCAGTCCAGTGGGCCAAGTGGACGTGGTCTGCTGTGCGAGGGGGGGGTGCTGGAGACGGTGAGGATGGTGGGGTAGAGCGAGAGATAGAGGAGGACGACTCACAGGCAGAGACCAAATCATTGAGTTTCAGGCAAGTATGCAGCATCCCTGCTTTGCTAGGACTCAGCCTTTGAACTTGTCACAGTCCCATTAATCTCCAGTCCCTGCTGACTTGCACGTGTAATGGCATTCAGAGCACGATGCATCCTTCCAGGGACAAAATGCTCTGCTGTGGCTCGGTGAAGTCCCATGTACTGCGTCTGCCCTGCTTGTCAGCTTCTCCCTTAAGAGCTTGTTGGCTATTCAGTGCATTGAATGTTCATCATTTGCATCTGCCTTTGCTAATTCGGCCCTTCCCTTCAGCTCCCTAGACGGTGTGCAGTGTTAGCGTTATTAATTCCCAGCCCCCTGGGACCTGCGCTCCTTTTCAGAAACGTTCAGCTTCGTGGATTTCAGGCACCCTTTTTAATCCCACAGAGATGCAGCAATCGTAGGGGAAGGGAGTTGTGGCAGAGCAGTCCGGCAGGCCCCAGCAGCTGCTCTGACATGGTGCTCTCTGGTCTCAGTGCAAATGCTAGCAGACATGAAACACACAGGTAGAGGCTTGTTTTCTGAACTGCCCAACATCCAGAACAGCTGAAGCTTTAGAGGAAGGGGCTCCAATCGGAGGTGCCATGTCCCAGGGGTCACTGACCCATGCTGAGATAGCCAGTGTGTGTTTTCACATAAAAACAATCTGTGCGCAAGGTACCAAAGTATAATGGTGCAATGTGACTAATCTCTGATAGATGGGCATCTGGGGGAGGGAAGCTGGAAGGGAAGTTTCAAGGGGAATTGACTGTAACATGGTTTCACCTCCTCTACCTTTTCCATTCGTTGCCATGGTGTGTTAGGAATGAATCACTCCAGCCACGGGATGTCATCTGCAGATCGGTTGATTTGCTGGTCGGCCTGGGAGCTGGAATCCAGTCTGGTTGGATATTTAGGGAACGTATGTGAAGCATTTCGGAGCTAGCCTTGAAAGTGGTAATTCTTCATTCTTTTCCCCTCCTTGGCAGCTCGGATTCCGAAGGCAATTTTGAGACCCCTGAAGCAGAAACTCCAATCCGGTCACCTGTAAAGGAGATCTGTGACCCATCGCTGGGATTGGATGCAACCGAGGCCAGGACCCAAGGTAAAGAGATGCTATGAATCTTCTGATCTCATTTTATTCTGCTTTGGATGCAGAAAAGGGGTTGGGGCTGGGGAGGGGAAGTTGTTCTCTTGAATAATGCTTGCCAGGTGTTTGCAGTTCCTGGGCTGGATAGTTTAAATTCAGATGCTCCAGGCTATGCACCTGCTGCAAAGGGCCATTTTAAGTTGAGTGAAATGTTGATTTATTGAACAGTTTTGAGGGGCCAAGGGCTGCACTGACATGTGACAGAGTCAGTTCGATTTCCCAGCTCGTGCCCTCGTGGTGCGCAATTATAATCAGGCTGTTTTGCAATAGTTGGTCACACCCACCCGCTACCCCGGAGCGGAGATAAAGAGCAAGCGGGAATGTGGCAATATGGCGAAGATGTCTAGAGATCCGGTTTTGTGAGTTACCCCGAGGAGCTGAGGCTTTTTCCCATGGCACAATGGAGAGCACAGCATGCAGCCAGAAGCTGCTCAGTCTAATGGAAGGGAGCAAAGGGTATTTTCAGACTCTTCTTTTTCAAAGTGCCCTCCCTAACATCTTCCTGAAAACCCCACCTGGGTAAATATGTCTCTTGTTGGCTTGGGGAGTCACTTGATAGTCAGCTGATTGATGGGTGCCATACAGCGGGCAGGCCCTTTGCCGTTTGCAATGGCACTACTCCGCCCCCTTTCACAGTAGTTGATGTGATGTTTCATCCCTCAACCCTTCCTCATTACCGTCTGCAGCTGAGATTTTGTTGCATGGGGAAAGGGGATTTTATAATCTCAGTGGCACGGTGCAGAGATGAACAGAAATTGACCTCTGGATACCCGGGACTGATTGAGTCACAAATTAAGTGGATTTGGGTGTCTCACTTTAGTTGCTCCTGGGCATTTGTCCTGGTAACAGAAGCACAGCTGGACAATCTGACATGATAGCCTGTGCATTGTAAGCCCAGATCTAGAATAATAGGTGACGGCTGAGGTGTATTGGCAGAGCTGGGGTGGGGTGTGGGGAATTAACACTGAAATAGAAGGGGCTCCGACCGGCCAGCATTGAAGGGCTTTGGCAGAGCTGTACAAGGAATCTCACGCTGTGCGGATGGTATTGCGTATAAACTGTGTGCAGAAGTAGTCAGAATCCACTGCTCTGACAGGAAACTGTAGGTTGAATATACTGCAAAAGAGTAACAGCCATGTTAGTTCTGAATGCCAGGAATCCTATCTGAATTTACCTCTGTTCAAATGCTGGCCCTAAAAGGGGTTGGAATGTGCATACCTCTCATGCACTAACGGTTTTTAATAGTTTTAGTTCTCCCCAGTATGGTCGCTGTTAAAATTTTAGAAACTTAAAATCTCTGATCCTCATTGTTTAAAAAACAGCCAGTGAGAGCTGCAGAGAACCAAGGGCTTCCTTGCCCAGTCAGGTTCTCCTGTCTCTATGGCTGCTATCAACCAGGATCCCATGATACAATGGTATCATAACTGCATCTCATTCCAGTCATCTGCTCTCTCCCACACACTGCTACCCTGCACTACTGGGTGCTAGCCAGCCCTGCTAGCCCTTCACACTCCCGGATCGAATTTCTAAGTGGAAATCAGGGTTAATGCCTCCGTGAGACTTGGTGCTGTTGTCAAATCCCATGTCTACATCTGCTTCTTGTTGCAATGTGGTGGCTTTGTAAACCATGTGAAAGGCTATCTGTGAAAAGGACTCAGTGGGATCTTCCCCACACACCCCACTCATCCATCCAATCTGCAGGGCAGGTGATTGAATCATATCAGAGCATGGTGACTTGTAGATCTCCAAGGCCATATGTAGGAGGGTAGGAATGGCCCAGTGCAGTGTTTCTGGGTGAGAGGGTAGCTGGGGCCGCCTTCTTTCTGCTGTGAGTTTTTTCAGCAGTCTGCTTTCCAGACCGTGGGTCTCTTTGGGGGTGGGTTTTTGGTTCTTTGTTTGTTTTTGGGGGGAGGGAGGTTGGTAATAGGCCGCCATCCGCTTGCTGTACGTGGAAACCCTGAAGTGTAAACCAGACCAGGGTAAAGCCTTTGAGTTGACCAGCAAGTGGGACGCCAGCAACCACTTCCTCGCCGGGGGCGGCTTCACCCGTTTCGCTGACTGGCAGTTCATCCACCGTGCCCGGCTCAACTGCGTCCCGCTCAACGGAGCCGTCCGCCACGGGAACCGAGACAAGCGTTGCAGGAAGTGCGGCTACCCCAACGAGCTCCTGCCCCACGTCCTGTGCAGCTGCAAACCCCACTCCAGAGCCTGGCAGCTGCTCCACAATGCCATCCAGAACCGCCTGGTGAAAGCCATCGCGCCACGCCTGGGGGAGATCTCCGTGAACTGCACCATCCCCGGTACTGACAGCCAACTACAACCTGACATGTCTGCACCGACGAGGCCCAGAAAAAGATCATCCTCGTCGACATCACGGTCTCCTCTGAGAACAGGACTCTGGCATTTTGCGAAGCCCGAGCTCGTAAGCTGGAAAAGTACGCCCCCCTGGCTGACACCCTGAGAGCGAAGGGCTATGAGGTGCAGATGGACTCCCTGATTGTCGGAGCCCTGGGCGCCTGGGACCCCTGCAACGAGCGTGTGCTGCAGACCTGCGGGATTGGTCAACGCTACGCACGTCTCATGCGGCGCCTCATGGTCTCAGATGCCATCCGATGGTCCAGGGACATCTACATCGAGCACATCACCGGCCCCCGACAGTACCAGGAGGCGTGAGCCAGAGTGACATCATTCTCCCACTACGAGAAAGGGACCAAGTGACCTTCTCTGTTGGATTATATGAACTGGAACCATAAACTCCCTGAACATTAAATCTCACCAAATGAGGGTCAATCCATCCTCATCATCATATCCACTCATTATACTCCACACCCGAACATAGCCACTTTATGAACTTCATACCCTCATATCTCAATGTCTGTACTTTGACCCATCAACCTTTTACTCCCAATCGGGGATATTGCAGATTATGTATTCCTCATGCCACCTTATCTTAAACCAAACTTTGCACCCTCGATAATCTGTATGTTATTCCCTGATAACCAGAAACTTCTATGCGCAAACTCTGTTCACAATTTTTTTTAACATCATCTTAATAGAATTTGGGACTAGCCACTCTCACTGGGCACGTAGTGCTGGCTTGGTGACCTGATCTAGTCTCTGCCCTCCCTCACTCAACAAGGATTCATTGCCCTGGTGTTTAGCTCACAGGCGTTTGCTGATTGCTCAGTCTGATTATGCTGGGTTTGTAATTCACCTTCCTCGAGCTGCAGCTGGTTACCTCTGCTCCATTAGGTTGTTGTTTCAGGCAATGGGGCACTGTGACTGGTGGAAACATTCTAGGCTGTGACTCCGTCGAGCTCAAGAGTTGGAGCTGCTCCTTATTGTGATGTTCCCTGTACTCCGGCCCACCATCGGACCCCAGTACCCAGTGAATGCAGTCAGCGCTGGGGTCAGCAGCCAGGCCCTTTCAGTGGAGGGACCATCCATCATTAGTGACCCTGGTCTCCTGCTATTGCTGGGGCAGAGACCCTAGTGCTAGACTGGCAGCAGGTGCTGTTTGTTTGCCTCAGTGGAGAGGTCCGCGCACTCTTACTGCCAAGGGCTAGCAGCGCAATCCTTTGCTTTTTAGAAAAGCCAGAGGTTACTCCGTTTGTAGGCTGATGTTCTGGGGCGCAGAGGGTGGGATTTCTCAGGAGATTTTCTTTGCAAGGTTTCTGATCATCTCTGCAAAGACTCTGGCTCAAGGAAGCACATTGCACAAGGCCTCAGGGAGACACTTTAACATTTTAAATGTCTCAGAGAACAGCATTTTGCAACTGATTTTCCTGGGAAGCACTATTCCTAAAAACTACTGCCCAGGCCAAAATTCAGTGCACAAATGAACTGGCTCCTCATGGTATCCCGGACAAAGGCTGCAGTGTTCCTGGGCTGTACTGCAGGGCATGGGGCTGGGGCTGCTGAGAAGGGAGGGTAACCAGTTGCACTGTCTAGGAAGTGTTGTATTTATGCTCTCATTCACTGACCGCTGAATGTCCAGGGCGAGCTACATACCGGTGCTGCTGCTGATAAACAGGAGGGGTTTTGCCACTGGCTGCTAGAGCCAACTCCTCAAATTGCATGAGTGGCACATGGACCGAGGTCTTGTTGGAAGGTCACCTCGTACGGATGGCTCCTGGTGAGCTTGTCCCTTTCCGATAGACCACATCCCCAGGGCAGGATGCTGGGGAACCGATTTAGGACAAATGTAGTCTCTGTTGGGTTCAGCTGCTGCCAGCTGTGTCTGCCTCAGGCTCTAGATGAAATAGATCCATTAGAAAACACGAACCTCACCAGGAAACACAAACCCAACTCCAGCCACGTGGACTTGGGTCTCTGGAGCTCTTGGCCAGGGAGCAATTTGGAACTGCTGATGGAGTGAGGCAGGCACAGGCCTGCGGTAGTTCACGGCAGTGGTAGCAATCACCATCTCTCTCCGGATAAGCTCTTAGTATCACACTGAACATCGCAGCTGAAAAACAGTCAGTTAGGAGGCTCAATCCATTGCCCTCCAGCAAAGTTTCTTGAAACGATGGAGTGAGGTCACTCATGATGCATATACTATGCTCGGAAGGCTTCCTGGGATATAAGGCTACTGAACCTTGGCTAATGCATACATTAAACCCTCCTCATAACAATGCATCTTGGTTCCCCGGGAGGTTGGGAGGGCAGTGTACTTAGCACAGTCTGCACACAAGCTGCCTGGCGCTCAAGAGCTGCGGTAGCTGTCATTGATACAATAATCAGGAGTCAGTCCAGTTTAATCACTGCTTATCAGTGTTTAAACAACAGAGGTATCGGGGACAGCGAGATCAGGGTGCCAGGAGTGTTTGGGAAATGGCTGCTGTCTGGAGAAGGCTTCATGCACAGACATGCCACAGCCATTCCCAGTGCTCAGATGGGTTAGTGGGACTAGAAACTCATTTATCCACGTAAAATTGTGATATCATCAGTATGTA